ATCAGTAAACCTAGATTGTAGGCCCTGTTTCATCATTAATCTGAGGTCACCCCAACCACAGGCTTTTTTTTTTTTTTTTTTCAGTGCAGGGATCAAACTTAGGGCCCAACGCATGCTGGGCAGATGTTCTATCAATGAGCCACATCCCCAGTCCCTTGCATAGAGCTCTTAATCAGCCAGTGTTCTCATTCAGCCAAACAAGATCCCAATCCCTGTTTTCTGAATGATGTAGAACAGTGGCAGAGCCCAAAGAACTGAACTTTCTAATTTTCATTATCAGGAGCCTGGGCTCTGATGCATCTGGGGAAGAGGGATTTAATTTCACGTCTTCCAACTGCATCTACAGCTTCTTAGATCCTGGATTTAATGAAACCAAGATGCAAATAGGCTATTGCCCTTGATCTTTTCTGATTTCTACCTATAAAAGAAAGAAGGAAAGGGAAAGGAAGAGGCCCAACTCTRCTCTTTCCCTTTTCCCCACTCTACTCCCGCCCAACGCTTTGGAGTCTACACTAAAATCCTGAGGCCAGACCCTACCTGAACTTCAGCTCCAGTTATTCTGCCCTTTAGCAGTGTAGAAACACAGTGGCTCTATGAGGGAAAGAGACCTAGACCACAACAAATCATGAAATTTCACAACTGGAGAGGGACTGGTGGCAACCCACTGGCTGAATTACCTTGTAGCATAAATGAGTAAACAGAAACCCAGGGAAGGACAGGGACATGTATACAGTTACACAGTCAGCCAGCAGTATAGACCTGGACTAAAAGCTGAGTAAGCCCACTCCCCTTTTTTGAACTTAGCTTCCAATTCTAAATGGGGATAACAAGCCCAGCATGGAGCATCATCTGTCAACTGTGAAGTCCAGTGCAGAGGTGGTAAGGGAAACACCTTTTTAGGTGCCTTGAGAGTCTGGGTGTGGGGAAATGGGTTAAGATCACATAGGACTTTCAGAGGACTCAGCCCACTCATTTATATCAGCCTCTCCCCAGAGGCCTAGGCCACAGAGTGGAGGAGGAGGGTATTAAATATCAGAGAGTTATTTAAAAGCCAGTTGCCCGCTCCTCAGAAGCAGACGGTGGCCTCTGCTGACTCAATGGAGAAAATGAATCTTGGGCCTATGGATTTTCCCATGTCTCGGGACAGTGGGGGCTGGAGGGAGACAGTAGTGAGAAATGGGAACAGCAAGGCCCACAGTGAAGTTTTCCCCTCCCRGCCAGTGCAGAAGCTATGCAAAAGGAGAGACGCAGGGCCTCCCCCGCTGCCTAATGACTGATCTGCACCGTGGCAGGCCTGCCAGCTGCTCTCCATTTACCTCAGAGGAGGGGGGGCAGAGAGAAAGGGCAGGCAGCGGGAAGGCAACCAGGATAAAGGAACCTGCATTACAGGACAAGACAGCATCACACCTACAAGGACCCCCACTTCCTAGTTAGGCAAATTAAGGCCTGAACTGGGTGCAGTCAAGTTCAAGGTCATATATGAAAGAGAGGACACCAACTTGGGAAACTCACAGTACATTGTCCCCCTCTCTGACCTACATCCCTAAAAAGCCAAGGAGCACAGGATGAAAAGGTTCTCTGTCCATATACACATGCTTTTTCTTTCAGACAGGGAAACTAAGATCTGGAAAAGCAGAGATTTGCCCAAGGACTTGAGTAGTCTGGAGCCTAATGGGGAAGGGACTACCTATTGAGTGATCTCAGAAAAGTCACCAAACTTCTCTGTGCTTTCTACAAAGGCTCAGTGGCACTCACAGAAATCAAGATCCTTGCAAGGAGAAAGGGGGCTCAGATGAAGGACCTTGATGCTCACAGGGGGGACAATACCTTGGAAGGCTCAAAGAGGAATTCTGGGATCTAGTGCGGACAAAAAAAAAAATAAGAATTGAGGTCCAGTGTGGCTGTAAAGGGGAATTCTTGTGTGGGTCCAGGGCAGTCAGTCACTTTGCCTGGGTGACATGGGGTCTCACTGCCCTTAGTCCTGAGGAAAGCCTGCAAGCCAGAGCTTTGCCCAAGGTCCCTAATCACACTCCAGGGAGAGAGGCAGCCTCGGACAGGGAGGACTGCAGCGACAAAGGAGATGGGCAGGAAACCTGAGCTCTTGTCGGGCTCAGCGCCCAGACAGCTGTGCAACCTGGAGGAAGCACTTAACCTTTCTGGGACTGTCACCTGGTGTGAAGTATAGATGGGGGATCCTCACCAGGCTGGCCTCACAGAGATGGGAGGATCAAGCCAGAGTTTTAAAAGCCATTATTTCATTCAGCAAATGTTCTAAGGTGCCTTCTCTGTGCTGAGCCCTCTGCTGTGTCCTAACAATACAGGAAATCAGATCAGTCTTGAGTCCCAGCTSAGGACAGCTAAAGAGCTCAGAAGAGTCCCAGTACCCTGACCACTAAACAAAGTTCCAAAGAGGAAGAAGGAAGCCTGGAGGGCTTCCTGCAAGGGGCAGAAATTATGCTGAGCCCRGAGGGGCTGAATGGGCTAGAACTAAAGGAGCACAGTCAAGGGGAGCAACCCAGATGGGCAAAGAGTCCAAGAAAAGATATTTCCATTAGATGCAGCAGAGAATAAACACAGTCTGAAACTCAACTGGCTACACATTTATATACCAACATACCCAACACTGACAACTCCAAGATGGAGAGGACTGTTCTTCCAGAGAATAGAACATTTCCCTACTTGAACAACACAGAGCACCTTTGCTCTGTCCTCTGGCACCTGATGATTCTAAGTTCTTCCTGGGCCTCAGTCAAGGTTGCCTGCTGCCCTGAAGCACCTTTGGCAACATGGGGCAGGGCGGGGGTAGATCTGCTATAAGCGTTTATTGTACCCTCTTTTGTGCTAGCCCCTATTATTGGAAATAGAGTCATGCAGAAGACTCAGTACCCCTGCCTCCCAGGAGATGTCAGAGCTAGGGTCTGTAGCTGATGTGGGCCAGGATTGAGGGAGTGCAACAGCTGGGGGCTTTCAGAACTTATGCCCATGTGAGAAAAGACACTATCAGCCTGTGCTCTCCACAGACCAAGGGCACAGTACAGGGCAGGAGTGGGCTCCTAGTGCTGGGCAGCTCTGGATACATGTGCTTGCATCATGAGTTTATAAGCCTGCCCCTCTGAGAGTGCACCTGGGAACCTGCATGTGCTCAGCAGGGTGCCTACCCAAGCATGTATGTGCTTATGAAACTACAGACACAAAATAAGATGCACTCAAATCTCTCTCTCTACATGCACATGTATGAATGAGTGTGCATGTATTGCATGAAACACATATGAGCCTGCCTGGAACCATGCATAAGCTTGACAAGCCTTTCCCTACATGTGAGTGCATATCTAAGTAAACATGAGTCTGTATGTTCACATGTGGACACACCTAGGTCTGCTCATGTTGAGCTTGCCTTTACATGTATAAGCACATGTGTATGTACAACCTCATGTGTGTCTGTACAGACATGCCCGACTTTACATGTGCAAGTCCAGTGCATCCTGGTATGTGCAATTGTCTTCTGCTAGTAACTGGGAGATCTATAATAGGGATAGAGAAGAGAAGACTCAGGGGAAGGGAGGACTGGGGGAACCCCAGTATCACCAGCCTTGGTCCTTAATGTTGTTCCCTGTCTGAGACCCAGGCCACTGCAGGGTCTGTGTCTTCTCCTTAAGTGGTTTCGATCGGTTGGTCGATCTGTTATATATAACCTCAGAGAAGTCAACCCAACAACCACTCCCAATTCAAAAGAAAGAGACTGACTGACTGTTTCTTGCGGGGTGGGGGGGAGGCTCTCTCCCAACAAGCTTCCCTGATACTCGAGTGGCCTGCAGATCAAATGTCAGCTTCTCCAACCTGAATAATTCATGCTAAGGCCAGGAATGCTCCTTCTCAGGAGCCTGTCTCTTTAAATCAAGTCTGGAGCTTCCCAGTTCTGCAAAAAAATAAATAAATAAGTAAAATCCAGAACAAAACAAACCTATAAACAGCTCAGCCCCCACCTCAGTCCTGGTCCCCTCAGACACCCCACTCTATGCTGCAAAATCCATTCTCTTGGCCTCTGGAGCCTCCACTACACACCTCCATTCACCACTGACAGGTGGGGAAGCCTGAAGAAGGGGCAGGCTGATGGTGTCCTGGGGGTGCCCAGGTGCTGGGGCAGGGAGGAAAACCAAAGARCTGAATCACTCCATCTATCCTGTCCCTGTGCCTAGGAGAGTGCTTGGGAGGGTTCCAGCCTGCTGRAGGGAACCAGATGGGAGAGGGCAGAGCAGCTAGAGTTGGGGGCCATGGGACTGGGGCGCCACAGACTTTCCAAAGGCGTGGGACAGGGTCAAACAAAGGCTGGTGGTATAGGACCTGCAAGGGTGAGRACACAGATGTGCCTAATGTAACTGGGGTCGCAGAGCCAGTGGCCTAGACTGGGGATTTTCCAGTCTCTCTCCCTCCTARCACAGCCCCTTTCCCGGATCAAAGAGATGAGGAAGAGGTTGGAAAACGAGTAACTTTTTCAGACCACCCTTCATCCCGGCCTCCTCTTGCAGGGGCAGCGCTAAAGTCCGTTTCCCACATTCTCGCCAGTGAAGACCCACCTGACAGCTCGCCCCAGCCGGCCCCGCCCCACACGTGCCAAAGAGGGAGGAGGAATGAACCAGCTTATAAATGGGGGATGGGGGGAAGGGAGGAAGCAAGTCAGAGCCTCGGGGAGCCAAACTTCTCAGCAGCTCTGAGGCTGACGAGCGGGGAGCGAGAGCGCAGCAGCCGAAACCCTGAATCTCCAGAGCCTCCCACCCCGCCTCCCTCGGCTAGGAGGGCCCTGAGACAACGCTGGGGGCGGACGAGGCGGCCAGGAGGCGGGGAGGGGGAGGCAAACCCTGCCCACTCGGCTCCGAGCCCAGAACGGCCGCGGAAGTCGGAGGCCGGCGCGCAGGGCAAGGAGGGCACCAGGGGCGGGGGGCTTTGCTCCCCGCCTGATCCCTCTCACCCCCAGCGAGGAAAGTGAAGATTCCTTGGACTTTAGAGGCAGCGGACAGACCGACCAAGACTGCTAGCCGCTCCAGGTCAAGGACTTGCCCCACCCGTGTTCCCCCCAGGCGCTCCCAACTCACTGGTGAGCGCGGCGGCCCGGGCGCTGAATGCCGGGGCGGCCGCGATGGCCCCGCGTGCGGGACAGCCGGGGCTCTGGGGGCCGCTGCTGCCGGGACTGCTGCTCGTGGCGGCGGCCTTGARCCGACCCGCCGCGCCCTGTCCCTTCCAGTGCTACTGCTTCGGTGGCCCCAAGCTGCTGTTGCGCTGCGCGTCGGGCGCAGAGCTTCGGCAGCCGCCGCGGGATGTGCCGCCCGACGCGCGCAATCTCACCATCGTGGGCGCCAACCTGACGGTGCTGCGCGCGGCCGCCTTCGCCGGCGGGGACGCGGACGGGGAGGAGGCGGTGGCGACCAGCGTGCGCCTGCCGTTCCTCACTGCGCTGCGCCTCACGCACAACAACATCGAAGTACTGGAGGACGGCGCCTTCGACGGGCTGCCCAGCCTGGCGGCACTGGACCTGAGCCACAACCCGCTGCGMGCCCTGGGCAGCGGAGCCTTCCGCGGGCTGCCAGCGCTGCGCTCGCTACAGCTCAACCACGCGCTAGCGCGGGGAGGCCCCTCACTGCTGGACGCGCTGGACGCCGCGCTCGCTCCGTTGGCCGAGCTGCGCCTCCTGGGCCTGTCGGGCAACGCGCTGAGCCGCCTGCCGCCCGCCGCGCTGCGCCTGCCGCTCCTCGAGCAGCTGGACGCGCATCTCAATGCGTTGGCCGGCCTGGGCCCCGACGAGCTGCGTGCGCTCGAGCGCGATGGCGGCCTGCCCGAGCCGCGACTGCTACTCGCCGACAACCCTCTGCGCTGCGGTTGCGCTGCGCGCCCCCTGCTGGCCTGGCTGCGCAACGCCACAGAGCGCGTACCCGACGCGCGCCGCCTGCGCTGCGCCACCCCAAGGGCGCTGCTGGACCAGCCTTTGCTGGACCTGGACGAGGCGCGACTACGCTGCGCAGATGGCGACGCCGACGGTCGTGGCGAAGAGGTGGATGTCACCGGCCCGGAGCTGGAAGCCTCTTACGTCTTCTTTGGGCTGGTGCTGGCACTCATCGGCCTCATCTTCCTCATGGTGCTCTACCTAAACCGCCGCGGCATCCAGCGCTGGATGCGCAACTTGCGCGAGGCCTGCCGGGACCAGATGGAGGGCTACCACTACCGCTATGAGCAGGACGCCGACCCGCGTCGCGCACCTGCCACGTCTGCCCCTGCGGGCTCCCGCGCCACTTCACCTGGCTCAGGCCTCTGAGCTTCACTGCCTGGGGGTTGAAGGCTGCCCCTGCCTCGCCTGAAGCCTTGGAGATGAGACACCCGCAAGCTTGGATCTCTTGAGACCTGCTCCAGACCAGCTGGAGACCTTTGTATCTTGACATCCCTCCCACTCAGAAGCTCCAAGCTGTACCCTCTCTCCCTGGCCTCTGAGAGTTCCCACAGCCAAAGGCCAAGAGACACCCCATCTAATTCCAGAAACTACTCGCCCACCTCGGGCTCTGAAAGTCCCTCCCGCTTTCTGGCCTCTCCTGGAGACCCTGTCCTTCAATCCAAAAGCTCTGAGACTGACTCCGAAACTCTGCTTGGGCCCCTGCACCCTAGGCTGCACTGACCCATCTTCCACTCAGAGCCCTCTGTCCTCCCTCTCAGGGCTCAGGRGCCATCATATTCCCTTCTGGTCTCAGAAGCAGCGCACTTCCATTAGGATTTTGTGAACTTCGAGCCCTTTATCCCAATCTAGAGCTCTAAGCCCTCTATTGAGCTTGGAGACCTTCAACATTGGGTCCCTATGGGTTGGCCATTCCCTCCCAATCCTTGGCCCGGACTTAGGGCTCCGCTTCCAGTCTGTCTCTCCCTTTCCAGGGACAAGCACACCCCCATTCTGGCCTTAGGGTGGATTCCATCCTCAGCCTTTCACACCAGGGCTCTGATCCTCCAATACTCAGAGCTTGCTCCCAATCTTAACCTCTCAGCCCTCCACCCAACTGTTTCTATCCCCTACCTAAATCTTAGGCTCTCTATTCCCTGGATTCCCATCACTTGCATTTATACCCACCCCTGGCATTCAATGGTCAGGGCCCAAGGAATCCACCCCTGGGATACGCCACCCCCTTTTCTCCTAGAATGAGCTCTYTGGTCCTTCCTGCAGAAAAGTGCAGGAAGGAGTGAAGGGATGATGGCACCCAAGAACCAGGACCACTAGGCCGTGGAGGCTCCAGAGTTGGGAGGGGAAGGGAGCTGCTGCCTATGGATCCCTCCATGCTGCCTCTCACCCACTGTGGCTTTTCTCCTCTGGGGACTCTTTGCTACCACCCACCCCACCCCGAATGCCTTCCTGAAGAGGATGGGGGTCTGGCCTCCTGTCCCAGACACAAGCTCTCCTGTTCGGGGTCAGAGTCTCAGCGCCCTGCCTTCTGCATGATCCCAAAGCACAATCGGTGAGTGGGGAGGGGGCTGCCTCTCCCTGACTCCCACTCCCTGGGTCAGACAGAATGGCTGGCCTGTGCTGCCTCTGCACACAGGAAATCCCCCTCCTTTAATATATTGGCTTGAGACCTGCCCTCCCACCCCTCACCCAAGAAATCTGGACCTCCCTTGGGCAGTTTTCTATAAAGTCTGCAATAATCTCAGATTCTGTGCTCTTGTAAGTGGTGCTTTGTCATTCCTACTGACCTTGGGGCATTGATGGGGGTGGGAGGTGACATGCGGGAGGGCATTTTGGGCCTCCCTAAAGTAGGGCAGTGACCCTTGGGAATGTGAAAGAAGAAATGGGCTGTGATTGTGCATAGAGGGTTGAGGCTAGACCCAAGGTGGGACCTCCCATTGGGATAACATTGATCTCCAAACAGGTTTGCTTTTTTTGCTCTGAAATGGGGATATCCACAGCCAGGTTGGGATTCTACACTTCCTCTACATCCTCTTCCTCTTTTATTCCCCCTCACTTTGGAGGATGAAGGAAAGTGTATTTGGACTAATCAACCCTAGCCTCAGCTGAAGCTCTTGAGGAGGAATCCAGCTGTGAAGAAGAGGAGTCTGCTGCTTTGGAATCACCCCCTTGGATGGGTTTCCTGATACTCCTGCGTCATGCCGCACCCTCCTGGCTGGCTGGGTAAGAGAGGCTGAGAGAAGCAGCAGTCTAGAGGTGGGGTGTAGGTAAAATGACCGCCTGAGATATGTGGAGAAAAGAGACAGGAAAGGGGCTTGTCTCCCACCTCAAGGTCATCAGACTGAGTTATTTTGCATTCAAAGTCACAGAAACTTAGAACCATGGGGCAGAAGTCTAGAATTCTGGCATGTTAGAATCTCATCCACTGGTCAGGGTCCAGGCATATATTCTAGAATATATGCCTTCTAAACATTGAAAAGGACCTCAGGGTAATGTGGGAAGCCTCCTAAGCTGTCTCAAGGAGCAGACTTCCCCTCCTTGGAATCACCCCTTTCAGTCCCAGAGGAGTATGCTGAAACCCTCTGACAGTCCTAGTTTTGCCTGGGAGCTGGGAGCATGCCTTACCCAGGACAGCTCTGCACACAGTTGGAGACCATGCATGAGTCTCCTCATCTTGTCCCAGCAAGTTCCCTACCACATCTCCCAGTCATTCCCCTAAGAAGGTATTAAATCCTTTAGAAGTATTCCTATCAGCCAGTGACCTTCACAAGATGCCCTGACCGTCCCCTAGGACAACATAGTGATGGTCTGTAACAGGTTRGAGAACTGGGTCTCTAACTGATCACCTCATTACCAAAGGTGTGCCCTCTGGTGATGTGGCCCAAGACTGCAATAAAACCTAGCAAATAAAGGATCATGCTATTAGCTGTGGGTTTATTGTCAGCAAAAACCTTTGAAGCTTTTATATGAGAACTACTATAGCAGGCTACTAAGTACTAAGAACTTAGTTTTATTGAACTTCTAAGCATCAATAGAGTGCCTACAATACACCAGTTGATGTTCAACCTTAGTGCCGTCCCTGGTTCCCATTACAAGTTATCTCTGGTCTGCCACCGTCTTTGCAATCTGCCTTTGGCTTTATAGGATTGTTATTGGGGCTCTCCAGCCTTGTCTCCTCTGCAAAAGTAGCCATTCCTTCAGCCTTTACTAAGTACAACTGTGCCAGTCCTAGGGAAGCTAGGAAGGAATCACATTTGATCAAAGTCTAGGGAAAAAGAAATCCCAGGAAACTATGAGGGCTCAGAGGAARGGCTGAGCTTACAGAGTCGTCTTGGGGGAAGTCACATTTGAGCTGAGGTTTAAAGGATGAGTCGGAGTTTGCAAACCAGAAATATCAGAAGGGTCAACTTGTGGAAAGGTCTGGAGGCAGAAAGATCTTGTCAGTTGGAGGACTGAAGAAAACAAACCCTGGCTGCAAATAGGTAGAAGGGTGTGTGTGTGTGTAGAGAGAGAGAGAGAGAGAGAGAGAGAGAGAGAAAGAGAGAGAGATAAGGATCTGCATTTTCCACTAAGAAGCACAGAGGACTGCTACCCTTGGAGAAGTCAGGAAGGAACCACGTGTGAGACGTGGGCAGGGGAGAGGGACCCCGCCTCTTACTTGGTTATTCCTTCCTTCTGCTTATTCGTTTTGGGACCAGGCCTCATGCTGGACCCCAGAGACACAGAGAGGAACCAGACCTAAGCCATGCCCACAGGAGGCCAGAAGGGCAAGGGGGGAGGGATAAGGGAAGAGACCTTGCGGGGAAAGGCGAGATAGGGGTCCGGTTGGCACTGCCCTGGTTCTGGAGGTGTTGGAAATGAGAAGTGGGCAGAGGCCTGGGGACCACAGGGCCCAAATGGCAAAGGGAAAACAACTACTTCTAGGATGTCCCCTTCAAGAGCAGATTGGTAGAGAGCGGCAGAGAGAGAGGGAAGGTGTGGGTGTAATGTCAGGAATGTGGCAGACACGAAACCAGCTGAGCCCTTGAACACGGCAGACTTCCCGGGTGCTGTGACCCTGTAAGCAGCGTGAAACTGCCTTTCAAAAACACCTCTCAGAGAGGCCCTTCACCTCTACAACCCCTTGGAGTGGGAACCAGGGCAGGCCTAGCCTAACTGCAGTCCGGGGTTTCAGGGCGAGCTCAGCACCTGCCTTGCCATGTCACTTGGTCCCTCGTCAGTTAGAAATACTGGTGAGGCCCTGCTGTGTGCTGGGCRCCAGGGAACATGTGGAGCTGGCTGCTGCCTTTCTGGTCCAACCCAGCACTCTGACCTTGGACGACCTGCCCCTCTCTGGCTCTAGGTTCTTTCTGTCCAGGCGGAGGCTGGACTTGTGACCTCTGGAGGCACTGGCTGCTCTCACTGAAGTCCATCTCCTTCTTCATTAAGTCTCTGCCTGGCAGACTCTCAGCCCTAATTTATGGCCCTGGCCTTTCCCAGACAGGGCGAAGTGACGGGGGCAGTTAATATTCCTGTGGTAATGCACTTGGTCTCCTTCCGAGGCCCCTCCTCCACCCCTCACCCCTGCCTCACTGACCCATCCTCTTCCCTCWGTGGCGCCTCAGGGCCATTTACCAGCAGTCCTCCAGCCTCTCTCCAACCACCTAAACCAGCCCTTCCTCGGATGGTGGGGAAACTGAGGCTCAGAGAGCACAGGAGCCAGCGAGGTTACCCAGTGGTTGGGAGCAGATCCAGGGCCCAGGATGCCTCCGGGGCTATCCCTGCTTTGCTCTGAGTGCCTGGCAGGGCCACCCCACTTCCTAACAGAGGATCTCCACACTATAGTGACTGCCTCCAGCAGCCAGACCTGGGTCCTACTGGGCTGAGGAGGTAAAAACAAAGTAACAGTGAAGCRGGACAAACTCACCAGTGCAGCTTCTCACAGGCTTCAGTAGTCCTGCTCCAGCCAGGGGCAGTCCACCCTCCCCAAGGCAGAAAGGGGCTTGGTTGGGATTCCTAAGCTCTGAGGTCCCCATGCATTCAGCCCATTYCTCCTCAGTCTCTCCTCTCTGCTGAGCGTGGCTGAGCATGAGGTTTATGTGGACGAACCAGATCCCAGGAAGCTGAGGGGGCCCAGGGAGACCCCTAAGTAAAGTGACCAAATGGGCACACTTTAGCATGAAAGGGACAACTGGAAGAAATTATGTGGGGACAAGAATAAACTAGGGCTTCACAGACTAGTGGTCCTGGACACCAGTGACTTTTGATAAGACTTAGAAGGGGAAAGAGAAARTGCTAGACTGCTAGGCCAGAAAGTCTCCGAGCACTATGTGACCAACATACCCTCTTCCTTGACCCTATTTTCCAGCCACACCAGATCATGCAATCTTAGTAACAATCCCTGTGCTGTGCCCTGACTCACATGGTACCCTCTTTCCGGCACAGGAAGCATTCAGACTGGGCAAGGGTCCCCTCAGCTTTCCT